TCTTCTCATCTTATTTTGCGTTGATTCATGTTACGCATTTGTCCTTCAAATTGTTTATTTCATTAAATCTAAGTAGTTGAAGATTTATTTGTTTGTTTTTTTTTTTTTCTTTTTCATGTTTTTAATGTCGTAACTGAAGTGGAAACCTATGTGAACTCCGCTTTGCGTGGGTAGATTTCTTTAAATGTTGGCATATAGAAAACTTAAAGCTGCTAGTTGTATATATTTTAGAATGAGCTCTATCGCTTCTAAAGAACAATTCTTTATGATATAAGAAAGAGCTGTAAATTTGAATCAAGTAATTCTATCCAAAGTCTAGTACATAGCTATATAATATAATTAAATTATCTAATTATTAATAATAATATTAGCTTGACAATATCCAACTACATTATAATATATTATCATATGCATTTATACTCTTTATATAAGGTTCTTTAATCTTCATCCTGCTCTAGCCAGCTTTTATTTGCTACTGTTTTTCTTTTCAGCTGCAGGTAATAGACAAGTTTTAATGCGCGTGGCAAAAACTTTCAACAAGTACTTGAGCCTGCCATGTATGTGTGTGTGTGTATGTGCTTCTAGTACTGCAAATGATAGCCGCTGGTTAGCATGGACAAAAAAAAAGTTGCCATCTCCCTCACGCTCACAGTCTCTCTTTCTCTCTCTCTCTCTCTATCTCTGCTTTGGCTTTTGCTTGTGCAGCTCATGCGAACAAGGCTAACAGCAAATGTGAGCCATGAAAAATAATTGCTGCACAGCGCTGCTCAGAATTTGAGGCGCCTCCAGTTACAGCAGCAGCACGCGTCGGCAATTTAATTTATAAAATGCAACAACTTGTAACTAATGAAAATGCACTTAATTTTCGCCCCCCTCTCAAATGGCTTGGAACAACAACGTTGTCTGCCGCCGCCGGCCCTCACCTTCACTAGCTAGCTGATGGGCGTGGCAGCGTAAACATATTGTTACCCAGTTGCAGGCACAATTGAGCAGCATTTGCTCATTTGTCAGAGATAGCGACACGGCAAATGCGACTTTTCCGCTCGACTTTTCTCCTTGAGTGCACTTTAAGCACGCGCCAGGAAGACGAAACGACGGAATGGCGCAACAAACAGTTGTAGCTCTCCAGCTCTCGCTGGCTGGCCACCAACAGCAATTGGCAAGTCCCAAAAAAACTTGCCACATTCTGTAGGTAAGCCACGGCGCAGCGTTTAAGTGTCGCAATTACCAACAATTGCAGCAATTTGCCACCAAAAGAGAAATGGGTAATTCCTAAACGAATATGATATGCTCTCGCAAGAAATTGATTTGAAATTTATGTGTATATAATATATGTTTATATGTGTATGCATATCATTAGATAAAATCGTTAGGGACTTGGAATAAGCCCCGCTAAGACATGGAAATAGAACAAAATATTTGTTTATTATTTTTAGTAACTTGGCTGTCTTCTTTTCGTGTTTCTATTGGAAAAGAATGTAAAATAAAAGTCAGTGTTAAAAGCTGCAGACAGTTCAGCATGGATCGCTGTAATTCCTGAAGCACAGAGCTCATTGAGATGATTCACGTTATGTGATCTTTAAAATTTACATTTTTATTAAAATTTTCTATATATTTTTCTATATTTATAARTTTGATATTCTCTGAAATCACTTTCAAGCTATAGCTAACTATATATATATATTTTATGTAACCTTCGTATATAAATATTTTATCAGAAAGTTACATTATTTATACTATATTATTTTACTATTATTTTTATCAGAAAGTTTCATTAACTTTACATCTATTTACCATCCATATAAGAACAAATCACCTGCTTTACCTCACACATGACGTAATTGAAACATCTTCTAGCAGCGCATAGAGTATAGAGCAAACAAAAAAGGAAACTGTTGCCGCATAAAGTTTTTCATGCAAGAAGCGTGAAGCGCTGCAACAGCAGCAGATAATGCGGCACTTATCTAACTTTCAACACACTTGCAACTAGCTTTCAGTGGGCACTTGCAACCAAGTGGACGGCTGCTTAAGTTAAATGCCAAAACTTTTACGAAATAAATAAAACGCAAGCAGTGTATGACAATTAAGAATTTAGCATTGAACGGCCAGATATTTCAGAGAGTAGATCAAATGTGTAGGAAGTACATAATATGTAGAAGGAACTTTCAATGGCAATGCTTGTTTATGTAAATATATGTATAACATTTAATAAGAACAAGTTGTAGAGAGTACATATAATATATATAGATTTCAAATTATAAAGGCTCAAGGCTACGAGTTTTCTTGAATAAATATAAATATTTCGTTTACTTTAGCCTTATTTATTTATTCTCTGTGTAAATTCAATAAAAATACAAGCAGCATATATTCATTATGGGCTTAGAATTGAATGACGCAAATAATTCACAATCAAAACTATCGAAATATACAATAGTAAATCAAAAATCAAATGAAAGCTGAAGCAATACATTTCACATTTGAATTTCACATATATTTCCTCTACTTTACTCCTACCTGACGTAAGAGCTCAACTAATATTTTCCTTTAATCTCACAAATATTTCCATCGCTTTATTAGAACCTCTCTTCCAGTTCACCTCGGTGCGCATTCAGTTGTAAAATAAATAAATTGAATATCTACGCAGGAAATATTTCAAATAGTTGCAATTGGCCCACAGGCAGCTATCAATAGGAATGCCTGCAACGTGCGGTTGCTTTGTATAAAATTACTTTGTGGCGCCACAGAACTCTCAGGCGCAGACTAAATGTCGCTGCTGCAGTGTTGCAAATCTGATTTGGTTGAGCTGCGTGAGTGGTTTTCAATAAGTAAATGCCTTTGTGCTTTATTTATTTATTTATTTTGTTTTTGTCGGGCTCCACATGTCGTATGCGCGATGTGGTAAATGCAAATGCAATAAGCGCTGCATTTATTTGCAATCAATTTTTTGTGCACGACTGAGCTAATTAATAATTCATGGCAAATTGATGCGAAAATACGACAAAAATAAAATTTAGGTTGGAATTTCATTAAATTTGCCGTACTGCGAAAAATATGGCAAAAATGCGCAGCAACAGCAACAACAACAACAACAAGAATTGCAAAAGATACTTTTAAAATGTGCGCAAATATTTGCTTTTCAAATGAAAATGAATAAATGCAACAACAGCAGCAGCAAGAGCAACAGCAGCAACAACAACAACGATAACAGCAACAGTTGCTGCAAAAGTTTGCGCTTTTGGCTTTGCTGTCATTTTAATGAAGTCGTTGTTGCTGCTTGCCGCAGGCAAAAGTTCAATGCGTTGCAGGCAGCTACTAATTAAATTTCATGCATCAAACTAGCAACAAAAAGCTGCAACTCGAGTGCTCTTGCTTTGACTCAGTTAACGCTAATGATAATGTTGCTGCTGTTGCTGCTGTTGCTGCTGCTGCTGCTGCTGATGTTGCTGCTGATAGTGCAACCTGTTTACTAATATATACATAGATGACATGGGACAACAGGCACCGCGAGCATTGTGTGTGTCAGCCCACAGCCCACAGCATGCAGTGTCAGTTCATTTATCTACAAGAGTCTCGGCAACAGTCGGTGTGGCAGCAACAACAGCCACAGCAGCAGCAACTATTGCAGCAGCGGCAGCAACCGGATGCGTGGGCGACACACAGACGTGCGACAGCAGTTGGCAATCAATAAATCCCAGGACCAAGCTCCTGTTGATATTTGCGCAAGGCAAGGCAATGCATAAATGCACACACACACACACACATAGACACACACATAGACACACACATGTGTTTGCTGAGCTGAGTGTATATGAGGGTTGATTGCTGACGTCCAAGCTGCAAATTTGCATCAGCAACTGGTTGTTGTCATGGCTACCGGAGTTAGAGCCGCTCGTCCTTTTGGGGGTAGCACCAGCAGAATAGCAACAGCTCGAGTTACTCACATGTCCATTCCCTAATGGAAAAGTACAGTTGCGCCCAAGAGCCACCGCAGGTGCTGTTTGGGTTTTTGCAACAATTCGGCAAATGCAATTAGTTTGTGGCAGAGATAATAAAGCTTCAAATTTCTAACAAATAACAATTGCAAATTGCAATTCATGAAAATAATTCACAGCATTCGATGGAAATTTGCTCTAAGAGGACTTTATGCAACAGCAGCTGTGCCACGTATAATCAATCTGAAAGACTTAATTATTTTGTACAATTCTCAGAATTTTTTGAGCGTTAAAAACTTTGAGTTTACTTTGAGCACGCTTCGATGAGCAGACAAACCTCACCTATAGACTTTAAGTCATTAAACAAGAATTTACTCCCCAAGTTTTTTTTTATGGCATTTTAAAGCACTTTCAGTGCTGGCATATAACTAAAGCTCTCTCGCTTCACAACACTACGAATGCGGATGACTAAATATCCGCAAGATATTTTACAGCACTTTAAGTAATGCACCCAAATATCTAGTTATATCTAGTTATTTGACAGCACTTTAAGTGCCAAGCTGAAAGCACAAGCACTTTGACGACACTGTACCTCTTATGTGACAGCCGCACACAAAATGGCGGCGCAGTTTTGGGTTGCATGTGGTGCCTTACTAATTTGATTCAACTACTGTAACTGGCTTAGTCCGATGCACTTTGCCTGTTTCCGGTCAAATAATCGAGTGACAGGATACACACACACACACACACACGCTCATTCACACACCCACACACACCTAGACACATTTACACTGCCTGGACATACTAGTTAAAAACATATTTGCATAGAAAATCTTGTTAAAATGTGGACGTGCAGACGGATTGGGCCAGGGTGCGGAGGCCTGCGGGGAATTCGGATTTAGTTTTGCGTCAAACTTTTAATTAAACTTGTAAATTGTTATGCCACAGCAGTGAAAACAAACAAGAAGAAGCAGAAAAAAACAATAACACGCACACATGCAACAGCATGTCGCAGCCAAGTCGTCCCAGCGGCCGCTGGCAGTGTTGTAAAACACTTGCTGTACTCACCAACATTGCCCTCCGCCTGCACAAAATCTAAATGTGTGACCAGCAACAGCAGCAGCGTTAGCGCTGCCAGCGAGACGAGTTGCAGCTGACGCGCCGATTGCCGCAGTGCGTCCAGGTTGCAGCATAAGCGGCTTAGGCCGCAGCCACGCCCCGTCGATGCGGCCGCCCGTTTGCCGTTTAGCAAGGGACGGCGGGGCGACAATGACGACGCCTTAGCACGCAGGGACAACTGTTGTTGCTGTCGTTGTTGTTTCTGTTGCTGTTGCTGCTGCTCCTGCTGCTGTTGTTGGTGCACTGGCTGCTTAAAGCATGCTCTCTGTTGTTGCTGCTGTTCGCACTTGACAATTGTTGTTGTTGCTGTTGCTTTACGCTGCTGCTGCTGCTGCTGCTGTCGCGCTCTAGTTGTTGTATATTGCTGCCGCTGTTGTCGCTGTTGTTGTACATTGCTTGCCATGATAATCGGCCCACCTGCAAGATAAGGTAGCGAATGAGCAAAAAGGGTTTTCTTACTTATTGCGGTGCTAGACGGAAATTGGGAAAGAAATTGAATGAAAAGTTATGACTTGCACAGTGGCACAATTATGATGATAGCCAACGAATTTATATCAATCAAAGAGTAACTTAAGTTAAGTTCATGTTAAATTCAAGTGTAGATCATGTTAAGTTTTAGTTAGGTGTAAATTAGGTGTAAGTTAAATTCATGTTAAGTTCAAGTAAAGTTTCAGTTAAGTTCATGTTAAGTCAATGTTAAGTTCATGTTAAGTTTATGTTAAGTCAATGTTAAGTTAATACTAAGTACATGTTCAGTTCATGTTAAACTCATGTTAAATACACGTTAAGCTCATGTTAAAGTTATTAAACCAATAGCCACTCAAATTTTCATTTTAGTTAATATTTATGCAACCTCAAACTGGGCATTATTATGCAAATTTAGGTACTCCAAGCTGGCATTGTCATTGAAATTCATTTAGCCCTAGATATTTATCTTTATATCGCCGTTGCGGCATAATTTGTGTACGCAAATGCCCAGCTGTCGGCAGCGAATGATAAATTCACGCCATGCGGCTAAAAACTTAATAATTTGCAACATTTATCATGCAGCGCGATGACACGCGGAATCCGCATGATGAGTGATTTTCGGTTATTTTCGTACCACTGTGCGGCCTGTCACTGCCACTGCCGCTGCCACTGCATTATGTATGGACGAAAAATTGCATTTGCACGTATTTTAAGTGGGGCGGAGGAAGAGAACTTTGGGCTTTCCGGTATTGCTGGCGCTGCTTATACATATCCAAACAAGTATATATACAATATTTCGCTCAATATGCACAATACACGAGTTGCCCACATCCTTGAAGTCGGATACGTGCAAAGTGTAGGAGGAGCAGGACGAAGGTAGTGCGTGGGTGTGGCGCAGTTACTCAGTATTGTTGCGCTGCAGTTTCCGGACTTTTCCCAGCGCTCCTTTTGTGTGCTCTTACAAATAAGTCTTGCTGTTTATATGGTAATAAATGTCAGGCTTCATTTTGCCCACGAGCGCCACGAGTTGCCCCAAAAGGAAATTGATTTTTCTTGCCGCTTCAATGGAGCTGGCCAACAGCGGCGTCTGCTCGTTACCTGTACCCGCCCATTGCCCAAGCCTACCTCACCCAGGGGCCCCTTTTTCGCTTCACCTGGCATATTTTGTATTATTGTTAAGCACTGGACTGGGCAATATCCCGACACCTGCAGCTCATCAGCAGCTGTCGCCGGGTTACACACCAAAATCTGCCGGGACTTAGGGCAAATGTCGTCCAAGCATTGAGCACGGTTTGATAAAGGCCCCAACAATGTGTGTGTGAGAGAGAGAGAGAGAGAGAGAGAGAGAGAGAACAAAGGCGAATCAAATGCAATTACCTGTCAATCTCGCCCAGACAAATTCCCAAAAGAAAAACTATTAAAGGCCAGATTTTTATAGCTCAAAAAAAACTAGGTAAATGTTTGTGTGGGAGACTCTTTTTATATTCTTCATGAATTCCCCAAGTGTTAAGCTGCCTTTTTTGACAACTTACTAAGAACAACAAAAAAAAAAAAAGGTTTCGCTCTTAGAGCTGTAAGCTGCTGACAGATTTAAGCTTCTAAAAAAAGAAAGCTACATAATTAATTTATAATGTCGGAAAATTAAAAAAAATAAAAAAAATAAATAAATGTAATATATTCTCCTTATGGCACAAATAAAAAGGCAAAGGTAAAGAACCCAATGAAGCAACAAGATAAAAAAAAGTTTGCAAACAAAGAAAAATGCAAAATCTAGCTGAAATTTAATTAATAAAAAGTGAGTTTATTAATCTGAAATTAATGAAAAACTAGGAACAAACGAAATACGCTGCATGCTAAAGAAAAACAAGCAAGAATGTGGCCATCGGGTGGGATTGCCTGGATTATCCACGACATTTGTTAGAGCTGACGAAGGAGTTTTTATTAGCATAAGAGTGTTGAATCTCTAACTAAAGAAATTTTGGAGTTCTTTCTATGATTTACTACGTGCAGACAGACGGGCGAACAGCAAGACGAACATGGCTCAAAACTTATATGCCCCTTTCACTTCATTAAGCAGAATGCAAACCTAACTGAAGTAAAATTAATAAAGCATTTATAGACATTATAGACATTCTTCTTGGTAATCTTACATTAATGAAAAACTAAAAGAAACCAATATTCGTTTCATAATAAAATACAATTTAAAGTGCTCTAGTTGGGTATGGCCGACTAGGATATATTCCTGCACAATTTTAAGTCCCTATCATAAGTTCCCCCCTAGTATACATCATACCCTGACAACCCACACTCAATGGGCTCACTGTGTCTATAGAAATTGAAATAAATAATTCAAAGCTGTTAAATCAAAATGAGCAAAAGTTGAGAAATAGATTATGGCATCCATAACCCAATCAGAAATTCAATTTGTAGCCAAGCTAATAAATGGCATTTGTTTGTTCGTCTGTAAAATTGGTCGGAATACCAAATATTGGGTAGAAAACGGGTAAAGACCTAATTACATATTCCGTTTGCTATTTGCTATTGCCAATGGCAATTGAAGGAGCCAAAACTTGAAATTCTTGTGAATAAATAAAGCAGAGCCAAGAAGCAGCGACGACTCCTACTTATATTAAAGCAAAGGCAAGTCGGGCATCTTTTACTGCGTATGACTGGCTGACATATCGGATGATGTGTTTTCAATCATTTCGCAAAAGCTGCGTGATTAATGGCAGCGAACAGGACTCCATTGGCTTGACAGAGTTATTCCCCAGGACATTGCTACGGCTATGATTCCCACATTTGGTGCGAATGCGATTGCGACGCGTCTTGGGTTCATTTCTCATACATGTAGCTCCAGCCCGATGGGCCGACAGGCCCTCAGCCTTAGTGGCTGGCAAAACTAAACAAAACTAAGCTTCAATAAGTTAAACGAGCCCACGGCGCTCCAGTGCCGCATGCCCCCCATGACGTTGCAACATATGCGGCGGCATAATTAATCATCGCTCGAACGTGCCTAGACTCCAAGTTTATTTTTCGCCCATTTCACCCGTCACCTGCCACGCAAAACTTACGACAAAACTTAGCTAAGCTCTTTATAATATTACCTAATAATACATTTATACATATAAAAGAATATATATTATGCGAAATTTGTTGCCTGCTGGCGGAATATTTGATTAGCTGCCCGCTCGGATTCAATTGAGGCGCCTGACGTCATCTTCCATTTCCTTTTCCTGTTTATTTCCATTGGCAATTCAACTCAATTAGAAGCCCACCTGGGCAGTAAACCTTAATAATTGCAAAACGTTCCCCGTTTCACTTTATAATATGCCCCGCCCTCCAACCCCCTTCCGCTTTCTACTTGTCATTCGCTTTAATTAAAAGCGTCGACCCACTGTGAACGCCTCAGCAAATGCAGAAGAAGAATAATAAAGGAAATAAAGATAAATCAATAGTAAAACGTAAAAAACCACAAGAAAATAATAAATCTGAAAAAAGTGAAGTGCCGTTAATGTTCTTTTCAAGAGCCATAAATTAGCTCTAACTTGCATTCGCTCAGCGCTGATCCATTAAATATTGCTTAAACTTTATTTGAAATAGCTAAGGACTCATCATGCGATTTGATTGCTCTGCACCAAATGCAAAGTATTTGTCTAGCATTGAGCATAAATATTTTGGCTCAAAGAGTATTAGCGAATAGGAGTAAAGATTTTATTATAAGAGTGAAGATATTATAAACAAAATCGCATTTTAGCAGAAAAATGTCTTTGAATATCAAATTATCTAGATAATCTAAATAATCTGCTTGAATTATGATAGCTGAGGAATAGAAAAGGCATACGCTGATAAAAGCTTGAAGATAGGCTAAGAGATTAATATATATATATATATTACTAAGAGAATTTTTATTCATAGGAATTGTCTATTTATTTTTTATCCAATTCTAGTTGAGAAGACCTAAGCTGATAAAAGCTTGAGGAGATGAATATATATTTATTAATAAATACATTTTTATTCAAAGGAATTTTTTATTTATTTTTCATCCAATTCTTAATGAAATATTTAATTACCATAAAGCTTTTAAAGGATACCCATACCCAAGCACTTGCAACAACTGAGGGAAAAATGTAATTAATAAAAAGTTTGCCTAGCGACTGGCCTAGCCTATCTAGCAGAAGTGCCACGCTTATAATAAATGCTAATGGGTAGTGGCTATTTTTTAATTAAGTTAACAGCAACATGCGGCATTAAGCCAGTTTGTTGCATAGAGCTTCATGTCCCCTTTCAATCTCTTGCATTGCCGCATGCCACACAAAAAACCGCAACTGCCACAGCAGTTGTCACGATGCGTTTTTATGTTTGCCTTCTTTTTTCCAAATTTCTATATTTTTTATTTTTTATTTATTTATTTTTCTTTTTTTTGTGGTAGAACAACTTCTCTGCCCCTACCGGGCTGGGCTCAGGCTGCCACACGCCTCGTTGCCAGCATTGCTGCAATTAAAATGCAAGGAAATTACTTTTAAATACATTTGTTGCGCTTGTCAAGCGGCTGCACAGGCAGCTTGGCCTGTTTTGCCTTTTGTTGTGCCACCAGCTCCACTCCGCTCCACTTCCGTCCACCCAGCCCGTGCTCCTGCTGCAGCTGCTGCTCCGGCTGCTGCTGCCCCTTTAGCCAAAACCCATTGCCTTTCTAGTCACATCCGTTTGGCTTTTATTCGCGCATATTGCGCCCTGAAGCGACGCGCTTAAAATTCACACTCAGCTCGCAGCAGACCTCGCCAGCAAACCACACAAGCCACCCACACAGCCACCCACTAGTTTGTCACAAGCCGCATTTTCACTTTCCACTTTCCCATTTCCCGCATTGGCTGCTCTTGGCCTCGACTTGCAAAAAAATGGCTCGATAGTTGCCACCATTGAATTTCAATCATCAATTTCAATCAAATTCGCTGCGATAGCCGCAAATTTTATTGGCTTTGGTAATACAAATTTGACAAAAAAATTAGCCAATTGCAGCTGCGAAAACTTTTAATTCAATTAGGGCCATCAAAAAAACCGGCTAAAAATGATTACTTCTGCCAGCTCGATAGCTGCTTACCGCAGATGTCTAATCTTATGCTCAAAGGGTTCAATAAAAGGGCTAACTTCAATAATTGGAAACTTGCCATTGGCATTAAAAAGAAATAGTATAACTTTTTGTATATATATTAAGGTAAAAGCTCATAATTTAACGAGACAGCAATATGTTATCAAACATATAGCTTGACTTGATCTTAAGTTTTCTTTTATTAAATTACTATAAACTAAATTGAGTAAGGTGTACTCTAAGCTATTTTATTTAGGGCTAGCTTACAGTTTGCATCCCTGCACGATTAATCGCTCAGATCTCAACACTGTTTTACAACACTAGACTGAACATTATTCAAAGTCTGTCAACAAAAGTCTGCTTCCCATTTCATAACATGTCACATTTTACCAAAAAAAAAATTCATTTACCAACACTAAACAGCACTACTAACACTGCTGTCAGCGCAGCCAACTTCACGCACAAAGTTTTCCTTTCTGTATTATTATTGAAAATCTCAATTTGCATTGACTGCTGGCAGGGAAGTCTTACTTACATTTGGAAAAGAAATTTCATGAAACATACGAACAAATTTTAGAGCTTATGAAACGAAACTTCATGTTATCAAAAATTGCCGCTCGTCAATATATTCGGGGCCGAAACTAGTGAGTAGAGCAGGCTGACAATGGGCAAAAAACAAAAGATGAAAAAGGCAGCCGCAGCTGCCGCAGCCGCCGCAGCCAAAGCCGCTGCTGGCGATGCGGCCAAGAGAGAGCACAAGAACCACGGCTGTTGCAGCGGCAGCGGCAGCGGCGGCGCCGGCTGCTGCGTCAAAGACAAGTGCACTGACAGCTCCAATCTGAAGCCACATCTGAGTTCCGTCAATATGCAGAATCTGATGACTCTGGCCGAGAATCTGCAGGCATCGCCAAGTGGCAAGTGCAAGAGCCAAGAATCGTCTGGCTCCGGCTCCTCGGCCTCGGACAGCTCTGACAGTGACGATGCGCCCGATTCGCTGCCAGGAGAAGCCGGCGGCGCAGCAGGCGGAAGAGAACTACAGCAACAGAAACAGTCGCCGGATGGGCCGCCAGAGATATGTGCGATACCAAAATATTCGCGAGGCGAGAAGAAGGCGCGTCGCTTGCTCATGAAACTGGACCTGGTGCCGGTGCCAAATGTCTCGCGCGTCACCATGCGCAAGGCCAAGAATGTGCTGCTGTGCATCGATCAGCCGGAGGTCTTCAAGTGTCCCAATAGCAAGACTCTCATCTGCTTCGGCGAGGTGCGCATCGAGAATGCCTCGAATGCGGCTGCCGCCCAAGCAGCCGAACGCTACATCAACGACGTGAATGTGCGTACACCCCAGATGCAGAAGGATGGCAGCGATGACCTCCTGGAGGCCCCCGAGGGCGAGGAGGTGGACATTGAGGCACTGGGCAGTGCACTGGACGAGAAAGATATTGAGCTGGTGCAAATGCAGGCTGGCTGCACGCGCTCCACGGCTATCAAGGCGCTGATCAAGCACAAGAGCGATGTGGTCAACGCCATCATGGAGCTGACTGTGGGCGTGGACATCTAAGCACCGTCTGCAGCGCGTTTTCTTTTTAATTCTAAAGTGTCGCAGTTGAAGTTGTCAATTAAAGAGGTATTCAAATTTGAAATCAGATACAAATTGATTACAAATGGACAATTTTTTTATTAATTGCTGGACTGATTAGCCTTAGGGTTAATCTCGCTGCATTTCCAATCAGATGTCATTCTATTCTCTATAATCCTATATCATACTATTTCTACAAGCAGTTTAGTTTTATTTCGCAAGTAATGTCATTTTAGTAGTGCTTGCTTAACTTAAGTTAGCTTTCATTTCATATTAAATTGAATGTCTAATCAATAAATAGTAAATCAGTTCCAGCTGATCTATTAATTATAAACAAAAATTCAGTATTATATCAGCTTTGCTTATTTTTGCCTTGACTGTAGCCTAGGTGAGCTGTCTGGTTCTTAGCCCATTCACGAGGCACGTTGCCTCAGCATATCGACGTTAGAGTTTCTTTGACTCGTATATAGAATATATTTAATCGAGCCTGAGGCCTCCTCACATAAATTAAGTCTGATCCTCGTCTATGGATTTTACATCCACCCCATTTATTACTCGCCTGCCATAACAGTCCTAGAATTCACACTCAAATTTTAAGTTCTACAGGCCTTTAGAAAATGCGCTAAATCTGATATTCCTGCACACATTTCATTGCCAAACACTTAGCCATTTAAATCTGTTGCCATTTTGATCTTGTGAACTAGTTCCTGGAAACTTGTCCCCAACAGTTGCAGGTAATTGTTGCCAACTTACCAACTGAAAGCGTTTCTGTTCAGCTGACTCCTGGACTACATTTTGCTGTTGCTGAAATGTCATTTATCTTAACTCGTTCTTGGCGCATTATATTTTTCTGTTTCACTGTCTTTTGTTACTTTGGCTGGAATACTTTGTGAGGCTTTCATCCTTGAGCTACTCTGGCACAGTTGCTTAACTCCAACTTTAGTTTTCTCTTACGTTTCTTTTCAACTTTGTTATCTAGGCGATTTTCCCTTCAGTTTTCGTCTTTTGCGCATTTTCATTATTTTGTATTGTAGCTGGGTGTAAGTAATCAGCTTTCCAGTTGGTTGAGGTTTTTGTTTGTTTGTTGCTGTTGCTGTTGCTGTTGTTGCTCCTGTTGCCAGGTGCCATTGAGAAGGACTCGCTGAATAAGTATTCATTCAATTAAAATGGCTTTTGTTGGCGGACGGCTTCGCCTTCTTCTGACATCCTGTCGCCAGGCAAGCAGTCGTCCTGCGCGCGCTGAGAGCAAAGCCACTTAATAAATGGCGGGCTCTAACTTTCGGCTTAATTTCATTCAATTTGCAGCTGTCGTCAGCAGCCGTAAAAAGGACTTTAGTTTTTGCATTGTGGCAGCACTCGCTGTACCGCTGTACCACGCCCCAGTCAAGCCCTGCCTAACCCAGCCCACCTCAGCCCAGCGAACGTTCAACAATTTCGACCGAGTGAAAATTACCAAAATAAAACGACAATATTTTCGTGGTATGCTAATGCCCTGTAGGCAATTCGATTGAGTTGTGCTTTGACTATTTATTTTCATATATTCATATGGGTAACGATATTACTTATACGTCACGATGGTCAATTTGAAATATTTTTATCTCAAATATTTCAATCTTTATCATTACTGCATTGTCATGCAAAGCTGTTGAAACGTTGATGCTTGACTTGATTCATTTAATAAAATTTGTATAAATTCATGCACGAAAAAATACACATACGCCCCATTAAACAATGATTATTATATTTTGCATAGCTTTTGCACATTTTAGTTGATGAATTTGATATAAAACGACAAATGAAGACTGGCAAGCACCAAAATAGATGCATCATGGCTGTGGATCAAATAAAATGATTTGATATTACGTATACGTGCTGTTGGTCATCATGAATATTTATTTATTCAASCAATTCATTTACTCGCAATATAATTCAGTGAGATATTTATTGATTTACATTTATATTTTTTACGCAATAACTGTTTAAATCACTTTTACAGGGTAATCAAGCAAATAGCCTGGCAACATTCTGAATTCTATTACTGGCGTATTGTAAATTGAAGCGGAAATTGATTAAGTTGGCCGCGCAGAGTTTTAATCAGTGTTTTGAGGACGCGCTCGCCATACAAATTTATGTGACAGTCCGCAGTCAGCGGCGGCAAACTTTGCAGCCGATGCCAGGCAATGGTGGCAGATGGCTGGATGGGTAGATGGGTAGATGGGTGGAAGGTGGCAATTCGTGGCAGGCATCACCTGGCCACATGGCGCACGTCTTACGGTTGAGTAAACAGCTTAAGTAGCCAGAAACAATGAAGTGTGTGGGTGTGGCCCTCTCGCCAATTCCAGCTGCCAACTAACGACTGCAACTTTCTTTTTTTTTTTTCAAGTTTTGTGGCTTTTCTGGCCGAAAAAATTGTTCTACCTATTTTTCGTTTTGCGGACGTCTTTGAAATGAAATTCTGTTACCTTTGAGACTTGTGAATTTTTGCTAGGGAGTTTGCCGAATATTTCGAATCTGTTGCGGACTTTAGTTTTTCAACGTTTGATTTGCTTGCGCATTTCTCGGACCAAAGCCGCAAAGGATTTCGCCTTATGTTCCGACTGGACGACAGCTTGTGGCTGTCAGTTGCGGTGCGTCCGAGCATGAAACAAGAACTGTCAAGAGCTCGCCATCTAAGTGGAGCAGCACAGAAAGTACACTTCTCACAGCAATCTGGCATGTATTGTTCAAATTTGGCTAACGAGGACAGAAATTCTTAAGTGATATTCTCAACTTTGAAATTCCTAAATAAAATCCAGGTAAAAGCAAACACAAGTCTTTTTATATTTTCCAAAATTTCAGGTAAATAAAAGTGTTGCTTTTATTACAAATAAGTATCTGAAATCTATGTGTCTATTTCTCTCAGTGTAGCCAGTTATATAACATTCTTATGCAGCTTTAGTAGCTGCCAGCCTAGGAGGCAGTTCATCATTCAGAACGTGGCTGGGGCTTAAGCCATTTCAATATTCGTTTACTGCTGAGCTAATCACAATGCTGCGGGTCAAAGGTTGCACACTTGAGCCTCAAGTGGAACTGGCAGCAGGTAGATGAGCCCACCTGGCACTTTAGAGCTCTTCGGTGCCACATTATTGTGCATATCGAGCGAGCACTCGACCAAGCACAGACACAACGACAGCTGCGTATCTGCGAGGATTATTTAGGGCTCTTTCCGGTCAACGTTTTGCGGGCAAAACAAATTGCCTTTATCTGGCTTTGACTTCATACAAATATACGCAAATATGTATATATATACAGTTCACTTTCTATATAAATACATACATATATACGTGTTTAAATACAATTCATTTTTTGAGCTCAGCGTGAAAATGAAAAGGGATTTCCGTTGTGCGGAAAATGAAAAGCAATTAGATAAGCTCTGGCCGCCAGCTGAATGTGGCAATTGGATATGATTTGTGTGCCGCCCCTTGCCCCACTATCTGCCTGACTATCTCCAGCTGTTTTACAGCCATTCACTGCATGAGGTAATCCCTTTTAATAAAGCCTTTACTTTGATTTCAAATTAAAACGAGAGCTCAACCGTTGACCTTTGTTCCAATATTTCTTTTACTCAGCTTTTGATTAAGCTAGGAATTTTGCAATAAAAGCGGATTTCATATTTATTCTCTTTTTACTTCCTTTGGCTTTTCAATTTGACTATTTTATATATTTCTTATATTTTCTCTTATACATTTCTTTTATATTTCTTTTGTGCTTAGCTGTACTCGATTTCGCAGCTCAGTGGAAATTGCATGAGCTTTCATATTTTTTTGTTGAAAATTCGTTTTCAGCAAATTGAATTTTTTTTATAATAATTTTTTTATTATACCTTATATTTATTTTTATTGATTCTTTTTTTAATGTGGTATTCGATTTCTCATATAATTTAAAAAATAATTCTTATATAAAACCATTAATTAGTTTTCTAATA